GCGGGTCAAATGGGGCACGACAGACGCGTACCATAGAGTCGCGCGGGTCCCCGGGGACGTGGCCTTCCTGCGCGGACTGGGGCCCTCGCCCCGAGGGGGAGGGCGGAGCCGGCGCGTCCCCTGGTTTCTCTTGGTCTGGGGCGCGAGGTGAGACCTGTAGCGTGACCCGCGCACCACGCTCTCAGCGAGCTGAGAGGGTCAGGAGGGGGCCGTGCTCGGTTGCGGCCTTCCCGGGACGGGCGCGGCACCACGGCCAGATGTCCTTTCCTCTGTTCCGGGCAGCCCACAGGCCGGGCTGCCGTCGGAAACTTCCGCTTCGGCCTGGCGCCTAGCCCTCTCCGCAGAAAGCCCCTCTAGGGTGTCCCGATCGAGAGGGAACACTTCTTGCGTCCCTGATGGGTAACAAGTACGGTGTTGGGACCCTGAGCTGTCCCGACACATGGCTTGTTGTGAGGGTGTTTTGTGCGTAGCCCTTGGTAAAGTGGTCAGGTGCTGATGTGTCTCTGCCTTGTTTTCTCCCCACCCGACGTAGAAGACAAGAGCAAGGAGAAACTGATCTGTGTTTTATTAAAAATTTCTTACGGTAAAATGAAACGCCTGGAGGAACTTGGCGAGGTGGTAATCTTCATTTATGGGATAACGTGCCATTCAGCTTTGGGTTTTGTTCTGTATGTCTGCGGGTTCACAGCTCTCCCAAACACCCTGGTGATGATTTCACACATTTCGTTTGATGTTTGAGGAAAATCTGTCGCTTTCTTAGGTAAATTTCATAGAACCTTTTCATGTAAGATTTTGTCTGAGGTTGCTGGTGGCCATATTCTGTAATTTCATTATGGAATAAAACCTGTAATACTGAAACGGGATGAAACCTAGTGCTTAGGTTTATATTTTGATCATGTTGAACACGCGAAGGGTTCAACCCCAAGGTAAAGTCAATTTTAAGTATGGAATTCACTAGAAAACCCGGAAGCAATGTTTTGAAGTATCTGAAAAGCTGTTTAAGAATGGCTGCCAGCATATCAATTCCCACTTTTCTAGATCAGAAACATCAACCATTGTTAGCCTACTTAGAGTTTTAAATTTGGAGAATATGGAGCATACTTCCTTAAGTCTCGGGGACAACTCTTGAAAATCAGTTAACTCACAATGAGGATTAAACTTTCTTGATAGTATGTATGCTCTGCTGTGTGTCAAATACAGATTAATCAAACTAAAGTCACCTGAAAGTGCAAGTGTAAGGGAGCAGATTCACATCACTGATCTCTTTTCATGGACCTCTGGCTTCTTCCATTCTCCTTTTGGGAGAATTTCTGAAGTTTGGCTTTGTTTTGGTTTTCTGATTGACTTCTACCTCATATTAGGTGTGGTGGTGCATGCCTTATCCCCACCACTTGGGGAGGCTATGGCAGGATGATCACAATTCATAGCTCAGCCTGGTCAATTTAGTGATACCTTATCCCAAAATTAAAAGGGCTGGGGGTATGACTCATTGTGAAGGCCCCAGGCTCAATTCCCATCACCCCGTGCATACATGAAAGAAAATATGGACTGGAAATTAATTGCCATTGTCAGTTTCTAATGTTGCAACAGGAAAAAAAGGTAACTTTTTTCTACAGGAAGTTGGTGGTTTAATCTAGGATAGTCACTTTTAAGAGAAAACCAGTGTGATAAATACAGTGATAGAAATAAAATGTGCAAGGTGTGGAGTTAAGAGGCAGTGGTTACCACTTGGAAAGTCTTCTGAAAGAATGTGTTCTTGTAGAGTTGGCAGGATGGGTATTCTAAAACCCAGTTGTGCATATGGCAGCAAAGTAAGAGTTTGACTGCTGATGCTGTAAGTGGTAGAGGGCTTAGCTGAGACTGGAGTAAGAGCCTCATGTCCTACAATGAGTCTCACCTAAAACATTCTCACTCGAGTAGGATTTTAGTTGATTATACTATGATGACTTACAATCTTCATGGGGCAGTTAGCTTTTCTACTAGGGCCTCCCACCGGGAAGTTACCACCGAAAGGGCTTGAGCAGAGAATGTACTGTGAGGTACATATTGCTGGGGCTCCTTGAGTGTGCATCCTTCCATTCCCAAGCAGTGGTAGGGAATCCTTTCCCTTTTTCATTATGCAATAATGAAACTCTCAAAGACTTCTAGCACACAGCTATTTCTCAGTTGCTGAGTTATGGTAACACAAAGTCAAAGATTTTTGACCAAGAGGAAAAGCAGAGAATATCAACCAATATAAGTTGTCAGAATGCATTTTCCTTTAAATTGTAAAAGCTTCACAACATTCAACATTTGGAAACAAACAAAAAACTGATTACATGTTTTTCTTTTTAATTTATAGAATTAGAGACATTTTAAAGATAAAATCCCTAGTAGACTACTGTTCTACTAGGCTCTGCACAGTTCCTTTGAGTACCATTTAAAATGAGCCAGACCCCTGTTCTGAGGCAAATCTGGAAGTCCTGTCATGTGGTTAGTGTGTTAGTTGACACTTGCTGTTATAAATCTGGTGACAGTACACGGACCATGCATACTCTACTACTTTTTATTGGCACCCTTGTGAATTTTAAAATTAAAATTCCTTCAAATCAAGGGTATATCTTCATGTAACTTACAGAGTCAAATGATTTTGAAAGGCTTAGGAAAAAGTCCTAATTCCCTACCCCTGGTCACATTTTCTTCCCTGCAGAGGATGCTCTTTAAGTCTTATTAACAAATTCGCTTGGCTTCGATCACTAAGTATGCTTGCTTAACTTTCTTGTATCTCCTACCCTTGTTTCACAGATTGTCTGTTCACTTGACACAGAGCAGATGTAAAGTTTCTTTCACTCTCTGGTCATCTTTATACTGGCAGACTCCTGGCTACCCAAAGTAGCTAAAATATATTCTGAATTTGGTTATTTCAATATTTAGTACTTGTTATACATAAGCATGTTATCTATGTAGTGCTTTGCACAGCTGAGCCAGATGGTATAATAGTAACTGTTTTTACTTTACCAGATATTCTTTTTTCCCTGTTATTACAAATCTTGTTTGGTTTTGTTTGCTTAATTTTTTCTGTATTTGTCATTAAAATTGAGGCCCAGATTTTGCATCAGTTGTCTAAAGTCTCAAGAAATGTAGTCCTTTGTATGATGAAATGCAATAGTCTGCTCTTTTCATTTTTAATCAGTCTTGTTTTCAGTGTCTCTGACCTTGCAATTTTGTCTCTGACCTGGAATTTTCCTGCAAATCTCAGCGTTCCCTCCGCTGGAGTCTTGGTTTTGTGGAACCCACATCCTCCTGCCTTGATTTTATTCTCATTTTAGTGAAGCACACCCTCTCTTGGTTGCCAGAGAAAAAGGTTTTGAGATCCTTTGTGTCCAAAAGTGCTTTGTTTTCTCTCCTTGTTCCTGAGTGAAAATTTGGACCCGATTTTGCTCCTCCCCAATTCCCAGGGTTGTAGAAGTCTCCAGCCATGCTGAGTCTTGAGCCTCTCTGTATGACTGTTTTCCTTGGCAAAGCTTGAAGGATTTTTCTGTCTAAAATTCACAACACGTAGCATAAGGTTGCTTTTGAGTCTCTCACCTGTTGTCTTGCCTGCTTTCTGGGCCTTTTCATTTGGAAACCCATGTTCCTCAACACTGGGCTTTTTCTTGGGTACAGAATGATACTGTGATTTATGAATATGATGTGGCATAAAAGATCAAGCTAATGTATTTATGATCTCAAATAATTTTCAGGTGAAGCCTTTGAAATGTACTCTTAGCAATTTAGAAATGTATAACATTATTATATACTATATTCATCACATTGCAATGTCAATTAAACACTTATTCCTACCATCTATTGAGAGTTTGTACCCCTATTTTTAAAAATTTTTAGTTTATTAGTACATGTTTGGAGTACATAGTAATTACATTCATTGTGGGGAGTTGATACATGTACATAGCACTTTCTTTTTTACATCCCTTTCCCCTCCTCCCCTCTTTTGTAACCTATGTTTGTTTCATGGAGCAGTATCTCCTCTCATGTCTCTGTGGATTTTGAGTTCTTTGGTAAATTTTTCTTTCAGGTTACTGTTACTTCAGGCTGCTTTTTGTTTGTTGGAGGGTTTTAGCTTTCATTTTAGAACCTTTTCTGGGCTATCCATTTTATTTTCATGGATGTTCATGTGTCAGAGGGCCTCTGAATCTGTGATGTGGCCTGCTCACTGCAGCTT